TGACTAATGTGTTGTTTGATTCAGGTTCTACTCATTCTTATGTGTCCATTCAGTTTGCCTTGGGATTGGTATGAATTGTGATATACTTGATGCTCCCATCCATGTTTCTACCCCAGTTGAAGAGTAAGTCATAATCACCCACCAATGTGTATCGTGATGTCCTATTGTGGTTATGGATTTTCAGAATTGGATTGATTTGGTTATGATGTATATGACTGACTTGATATAATCTTAGGCATGACTTGGTTGTCCCCTTATTATACCGAGCTTAATTGTAATACTAAGTCGGTAACTCTAGAGATCCTCGGTAGGGAAAGATTAGAGTTGGAAAGGGTGTACAAGCCTAAGCTAGTTAAGATCATATCCTCCATTCGGTCTAGGAAACTAGTAGGGCATGGTTGTTTGGCTTATTTGGCTCATGTTTGGGATGTTGAGGTTGAGTCTCCCTCTATTGAGTCTGTTCCGATGGTGTCTGAGTTTAAGAAAGTGTTTCCTATGGATTCGCCTGGTATGCCTCCGGATAGAGATATAGATTTCTGCATTGACTTGGAAACTGACACTCGCCCCATTTCCATCCCTCTGTATCGTATGTATCCAACAGAATTAAGAGAGCTTAAGGCTCAAATCCAAGAGCTTTTTGATAAGGTTTCATCTGTCCTAGTACTTCCCCGTGGGATGCTCCTGTCTTGTTTGTTAAGAAGATGGAGGGTAGTATGAGGACTGGTGTTTTTATCTTAAACCATAAATGAGTGGATTAATACGGGAATGACAAGCTTATGGATAAAGAAAGTCCCATTGAGTATACTTGGGTGGAAGCAATTGAAGATGTTAGTATAAAGTGCGTATAAAAATGGGGTTAGTCCTTTGAAATTGATGAGTGTGCCTAAGTTTGAGGTGTCATGTTGATGAAAAGGTTGACTTCGTAGTGATAATCAGTGTTGACTAAGCATAATGGTAATAAGAGTTTGTGATGGGATGCAACTATATAATAAGATTGCAGTGAAGTGAATTTGGGTAGTAATTATGACTTGCAAGTATCTAAGGTTGTGGTTTCCTAATATTTGGTGAGTAATGTGGTTGCATGGAAGGTTTTAAGAGATGGTGGGACACCACTCGAATAGAATTTAAAAGAGCTAGAGTTATAATAAAGGAAAATATAGTGGAATGTAGTACATCCTTTAGAGAGAAGCTAGAGGAAGAATGTTTTGTTTGATTGCAAAGGTTGAAGAGATATCTTCAGAAGGGTAGATAATTGGGTTCAGAGATGCGTGATTTCATTTGTTTTGTTATGGCTATGGTAATAGTGTCACAAGTCCTTCAGATTGGTTAAAAACTATTGGAAAGGACTTGAGGAAGGAGTGGATAGACATTAGCTCGAGTGTGATGATAAGTGTTTTGTCTCTGTTTTGAGTTTAGTAAGGAGTAGGATCAAGTTTTTAGCAAAAGGTATTGTAAGATTAATGGAGAGGCGATCAATGATAAGCGAAGATCCATGAATTCATAAAAAATTTCAAGGTATAAGCTAATGTTGAGAGATAAGGGGATTGTGTTATACAGTTGAATTTACAATTCAGATTTTTCATTGTAAGTCTACATTCGTGGTGATGTATTCTGTCAAGGTATGAAACTGCAAGGTGAGAAATGATCAATTGTATCAGGTATTGAACCTTTGAAAGGATTTACAGTTGGCTTGAGTCGTAAAGTTTATTACTTTTGATTGTTAAAGTATCTAAGGAAGATTTTCATTTAAAAAGTGTTGGTTTAGAGTAAGGTAAATGGTCAGAGTGTTCATTATGGTTGTTAGTAATGAGAGTGTGGACTTCAGTGGAATGATGTGAGGAGTATGTGGAGTCAATTGAATGGGGATGACTGGTATCGACTCTTCATAGGAAAACCTTTAGTGTTATTCCGTGAAATGCTTACGTGACCATCTATTTCGTTTTGTACACGGTAGCGATTATGTTTCACTAGCTATAATTACGCGTGTTTTCACTTTTGTGGGTGGATCCCTAGTGGTGGATCATGGGTGCCAACCCTACGATGTTCCCTTAATTGAGTGGAAAGATTGGGAAGATTTGGTTATTCCAAATGACATATTTGGTGTTGTCTTGGAGTTGTTAAATTAATTAGTGGTTCTACATGTACCACCTTGCTTATGAGAATTCCTAGAGGAGCTACCATGCGAATTCGTGGTTGTTCGACAATCTTAATATTCATTTTATCGTCGAGGTCATGTATCGATTTTGTGTGGTTGAAGGTGGGAATCATTGGGTCCAATTCTATTGTTCTTAAGAGGTAATCTACAATTTCTAAATCTAGCATTTTGATAGTATTGTTGGAGGGTTTGTATGCTTGGACATATCCTTCGATGAGTATTTGATTTCTAAAGACCAAAATTTTTATAACTTAAACTCATGGGAAATTGGGTTCTGAGATGGAGATGTTCATAAGAACTATGATTATTTGGTATTATGATTGTGTGTTGGTTGGTTCAGGTTCCCCTCTAATTGTGTTGAGTTTTGATCTAGGATTTTATCATGGTTATGTGAGAAAGGATTCGTCCTGATGTTTGTGTCAAAGTCCTTGATAACATGTTGCAGACATGTCTACAATCAACTTTGGTGGTTATAGGGAATATCGTTGTTGTTAGTTAAGTGCACATACAACAATAATTATCACTTGGGTACTGTGATGACTTCATTGAGGCATTGTATAGAAGGATGTGTAGGTATTCAATTGGTTGGTGACAAAAATTATATCATAAAGTGAGTCTCAGTTGTGTTAGACAAGACCTTCTGTATTAAGAAGAACCGGTTGAAATTCTTGATCTCGATATCCGGAAGCTAAGGACATGTGAGACAAGTATCCCATGTTGTTTAGCGATTCAAGTAGTACTCTATCCTTACTTTAGCCAATCTTCCCTAGTTGATCACTCGGGGAGAGTGATGGGTAAATTAGTATCTATTGTAACGACCTGATTCCGTCGTTAGGGAAAAGCCAATGGAAAAACAGTTGGGGTCAGAAAACTTTTCATAGTAACATGGAATTTCCCAACCTAATCCAGCTTCGGACGAAATCGGAGTTAGTAAAGTCTAGGGAAATATGGTAACAATTGGGTGATATATTTATGATTTTGATTACATGAGTGGATAGCTAAGACGTTAAGGAATCTGTATGACTTTACAAAATCGAATTCGGGCGAGTAGAACTCTCGAAAATAATCTTAGCGTGAACAGGTGGTCTTTGAATGTCAAGGGTTGAAGGTGTGTTGTGAAATAGGGACTTGGAATTCAAATTCCAGCATTTTGTCTCCGTGCATGCCGCCGTAGCGGGATTGATGCCGCTGTAGCGGGATGGGTCCCGCTACAGCGGACAGACGCGACTTAAATAGGGTAAAACCCCCCAAAAACGTTATTTTCTGCAAAAGTTCATTCTTGAGAACTAAGAAATGACCCAGGTCTATTTCTTGAAGGTTTTCCACCTCTTCTGGCACTAAAGGTAAGGATTTTACTCCCCTAATCTGTTTTTCGATCCGTAGAATGTAAATTCATGGGTAATTATCGATAAGGGAGGGTTTGATCTAGAATTATGGTGGAAAAAGCCCTAATCTGGGTATGGGGATCAAGGATTTGGTCTAAGGTTGCGGTTGCCACGTTCCGGCATAATTATGGGATCAGTTGCTACGTTCCGGCATAAACATTGGATCGAGTATCACGCACCGGTACACTAACAGTTTGGGTGTGGATTCCATGAGAGGACCATTGAATTGGGTTTTATGAGAGGACCATTGAATTGAGTTCTGTGAGAGGATCATTGAATTGTGTAGTTTATCTACTTGTGATGATTTTGTTCATATCTAATGATGATTGATATTGGAAGACGGTATGTTGCTCTAAAATGATAATCAATGTGTATTATTGAGAACGTGGAATGCTACATTGATCCTGAAAAGATGACTAATATTGTATATGTTCGGTATATGCCTGTTTATAATATTGTGGTTACTTGTATGTGTTTCACTTATTGGGATAGCCGCGTGATCCTACCAGTACACTGTGGTTGTGTACTGATACTGCACTTGCTTGTTCTTTGTTGAGTACAGGGCATCTTTAAGCGGCTATTGATAGGCCTCAGCTAGGTGACTATTGAGCGTGACCGGATTCAACGGTGAGCCAGTTTTTTCAGGCTGCCATGAATCTTTCTTGTTTAAGTCCACTCTTTTTGGACTCAGACTATTTGTTTAAGGCGTTGTTTAGTTTTGGGGTTGTACCCCTTGTTCTTAGATTTGTCGTTAGTAGAGTTTTGGTACAATGACTTTCAGGTTCTATAGGTTGAATTTCCGCATTAGTTTGATTAGTTAATTGTTTAAACCTTTGGAGTTTATGGGGACTCCATTTTTATTGTCATTTAAACTTGCTTCCGTATCTTTAAATGCGTAGTATTTGATTAAGTTATGTAGTTTGGTCGTAGTAATGGTTCTCCCACCGGAGGGTTAGTGTGGGTGCTAATCACGACGGTCTGGGTCGTGACATCGACCCCTACCTAAAACATAATATTAAGGTTTGAGTTTTGTTTATGTAATTCTTCGTTATCTAAACATACACTGATTCTATCTATATATCTATATATATATATATATAGAGAGAGAGAGAGAGAGAACCAAAAACAAAATATTGGTTAGAATAATTTGAATACTTATAGAAAAAAGGAAATATTGCGTACTCATTACTCAGTAGTATAGTTATATTTAATTTCCTTTTTAATCTCAACAAACTATTTGTATAATATATTACAATTAATGTATCCGGATGAAACTTATGTATCCGAATGACTGATATTTGAAGGGATTTTTGTAAAATAGAAAAGAGTAGGAATATAATGTAATTTAGGTCTTACACTAGATATTTATGTAAGTTATACAATATAAATCATGGTATATTATACATGTTATAAAATAAAAATGGATAACTAAACTAATTAAATTGAGAAGGAAAGAGGTGTAGAGAGATAAATAGAAGAAAGTGTACTCCTATTGTAATTCCCTTTTCACCCTTCTTGATATCTTCCATATTACAAAGAAAATGGCTATTTATAAGCCTTGAAAACTTAGGGACAAATTTTATCACACTATGTTTATTTGCTTAGCACACATATACATTAAATTAAACCACATATAGAATTGAGTAAATAATTTTTACTCATAATTCGTTTATTTTTTAGAACTTTATAATAACTTTGACGCAGTGGGGGTCTTTCAATAACTCAAATGATTGGTTAATTTCCATCAATGAAACTTGATGAGTTATAAGCCCATCTAGTTGAATCTCCTGGGGAAAAAAAAATTCAGTCTACAGAATTAAAAAAAAATCTAGCCAAAAAAAATAAGAAAAAAAATTCTAATTACAAAAGCAATTTATACTACCTAAAGATGTTTTCAAGAGGTTACACTTTATAACTGAGCAAAACTAAATTTTTTTTGTCAATTTATGTTTCATATTTTTCTGGCCAAACACATATGTTTCATATTTTCCAGACACTTCAATTCAGACTTGTTTAATTTACACCTTTA